CAAAATTATCTGAAAACTTTGAACTTGAGATATTACCGTTTGGGAGTCTACCATAACAAAGTCTAGAAATTTACCGACGACAAATTTCTTCGTGCCGGCATCCTCTGGCTTGTATTTCTTCTCTAAAGAATCCCACAATTCTTTTGCTGACTTCAAAGGACTGTATACATTATACAACATGCTGTCCAGGCCACTGAGGATGTAGTTTCTGTATAGGAAATCTGAATGTTTCCAAGCATCTACAGCGGCAACAACTTGCCGATCACTTTCATCCTCTTTCAGTGCTGGAGCCTTTTCATGGAAAAACCGGGCCAAATTCAGAGTTGTAAGATAGAACAGAATTTTCTGCTGCCATCTCTTAAACTCAGTACCGTTAAATTTTTTCAATTTTTCTCCATGATTTATTGGTACATGAACATGGTTCTGGATAGGGACCGGTGTTGGTGTAACAATCGGAGTACCACTACCAGTTGCAATTTCAGTTGTAGTAGCCATAATCTCTGATTACAAAAATCAGAAAAAATTAAAATACAAGTTAATTTTCTAGTTACTAAAACCAGAAAATAAATGATAACACAAAATAATTTTATTTTCCTTATTACTAAAACTAGAAAAATAAAATTCCACAATAATTTTCTGTAACATAAATTAATATTCTGCAATTGTTATTGACACCAGTATATTACTATTAGTTGTCAAAGAAAAGAGACAGTATATTACTACTATCTGTCAAATAGCATAAAACAGTACTTGTTTTTCCAACCAGAATATGTCTTTATGAAATCACAGAAAATTAAATACAATGAAGATACCAAAATATTTCTGTCTTAAGATTGTAGGACAATCTTCACTATATTTAAATAGTTTAAATTCTGTTGTGTACTCAACCAGAATATAAAGAAATAAAGGAAATGGGAGAATTTGTTTGATTACAAAAATCAAACTAGAAATAAAATTAAATAAATAAAAAATAGATTTTATTTTGTTACAAAAATAAAATTAAAATCTGATTTAAATAAACAAATAAAAGAGAATAATTAAACAACTTACTTGATTAATTTTTTCGAATTATAGTCTGATCAAGTCTAGTGTTTGACACTGTGTCCTTAAGACAGATTCGTCTTCTCCACGGTGCTTTCAGATATGGACATCTATCTCCCAAGATGAAATGATCAACTACAAACAATAACAGCACTACAAATTGTTTGCCTAACGAACACACTAAATGTTTACACTCTTCACTCTTTCTTTCAGAAATTAAATGCAGCAAAATGCAGAGATTTATAGCAAAAGATGGAGTACGAAAATTGGAGTAAAAATTCAAATTGGGGGCTAGTCTATTTATAGATGGATTGGTGGCTTTTCATTTTGAATTAAACAGGTACAATACCTGTTCAATTTGAATTAAACAGATACAAATCTGTTTAAGGCACTGTTTGGTTTGAGATCCGGGTGGATTTGAATTTGAACATATAAAAACGGGAAGGGCCTTGTTTAGGTGTCAGGAAAAAACTGGACCAGTTTAATTCCGGAATTAATTTGAATTCTGGATTTTATGTTTCAAAATATAAAATTTAATTCAAATGTTTTTGACCCAAAAAGATTAGTGTTGGGCCGAACAAGCCCAACCCAACCACACACCAACGCCCAAGCCCAGCCTAGACGGGCAGCGGCGGTGCGCGTGTGTGGTGATTTTTGGGTCCAATAGGTTTAGTCCATTTTACCCATAATCTCCCTCTCTAAAACACCCCAAGTACCAAACCCATGTCTTATAAACCCATTCAAAACTTCATACCAAATCAATGTGGGACAAGCTTTATTCAAACCTTTAAGGATTTTTCACCAAAACTCCATTTCCATGGAGCACACTTTAGCTTCAATTTTCCATTTACTCGGTAATGGTTTTAAGCAACCAAATATACCACGTGAATCATAACGCGGCATAGAACGCGTTACCACTTTGACCAGTGAATATCGACGCACGGGGCCCACTTAAAAAATAGAACAAACTTAGGAAAAAATTCTGTTATTAACCCAGAATTCTAAACCATTTCCAACAGTATGTTCCCAACAGAGTGTATTGGAGACAAAAAATTCGTCACAAATTTATCATTTTTAATGATGAATTTATTTTCGTCTCTATTGGTAGCTTCTTTGACAAAAAAATTTCGTCGTCGTTTATATTAAACGTGACAAAATTATTTTGTCTCTATTTCTTATATTTATGACAAAATACTTTTGTCTCTAATTTCTTTCTTTAATGACAAAATATTTTGTCGTTAATTACTTACAAGTATGTTCTCAACAGAGTGTATTGGAGACAAAAAAATTCATTACAAATTTATCATTTTCAATGACGAATTAGTTTTTTAGTCTCTAAGACCCTTTAGCGACGATGCTTTGGCAACAAAACGAGTGACGAAAAATGTTCGTCGTAATTAATTTGGGTGACGAAATATATACATTTTTAGACAAATTTATTTCGTTTTTAAATCCCAAATTTATTGTAATGAGTTTTTTGTCAAGAAAATATAATAAAAAATATGAATATGATAACCATATTATTATTTTAAAAATCCACAATGTGCTTGTGAAATAAAATGAGATCTTCTAATACAGACAAATCATAACCATTCAAACAGGATTTGAAGATCTTCTAATTTAAATGAGGATTGGACAACAGAATTCAAATGATTAGGCATTCAAAGCTTTTTTTTTGCCACTCCTAATAATTATTGACAAGACCAACCTTTTTACGATTGTTTTTTTCAATAATGATATATTTCTTAATTTGGAAGTTCTAATTGAGTTTTAATGATACGACAAAAAATAATTATAAAAAAAAAACATAACAAAACAAAAATAATCGGAAGCTCTAGAAAAATGTTTGGGAGCTCTAAAATATAAGTTCTAAAGGAGCATTAGGGGGTGGGCCTCACCCAACAACGTGATGTTTTGGCCTTTTTTTTTTTTTTTTTTTGAATTTTCGCATAATTAGAGCTCCAAAATTAAGGGGATGTATCATTCTTGGGGAGCTCTAATGGGAGTGGACCTTATTATGATGTGATGTTTTGGCCTTGGGTTTTTTTTTTCTTCTTCTTCTTTCTTGCCACATTATTAGAGCTCCAAAATTAGAAGATGTATCATTGCTAAAACATCACCATCATTGTGAGACTCACACACTTAGAGCTCCTTTAGAGCTCCCAAATATTTTTCTTGTTTCTTATTCTTATCATCAATAAATGTCGATTTTGGAGGTTAAATTATGGAGTAATATTAGGGATACAATCACTAAATACATAATGGATTATGTGATTTGAAGCAAACTTTAGTTATGTTTTAAGAATTTTGCTAATAAGTGTTCTAGGGGCCAGGATACTAGAAAAGAACAAAATAAGTATAAAGTACAATACACTTTTTATCAATTTTATAGTAATACATTTCACTTATTTTCAAATATTTTAAAACTTTTTCACTATTTGGAAAACACTTTTTACACTAATCCCAACACTAACTAAACAACGCATAGGAGACACTTGTTATCATTTATTATGTTTTAATATTAATGTAATAAATAAAAAAATAGAATTAATTACACCAAGACTCTTAATTATTAGTGAATGTAATCTTATCTCCCTCATCTATGAATCTATATATTTTGATATATTCAATTATAAAAATATTTTAACTTCACCCCTTTCAAACTAACTCAAAAAGCAATGATTTTGAATTATTTTTATAATTGAGGGGTCAATATATATGGATTTATAAATGAATAAGATAAAGTAATATTTACTAATAATTGAGGAATGTTGGTATAATTAATTTTAAAAAATAATAATAGGGTTAATTACATCAAGATTTTTACAACTATTTATGAATATTGACTTACCCACCTCATCTATTTTGATCTCTTCAACTATAAAAATATATTACTTTCACCTCCTATAGACTATTTTTAAAAATTGTGTATTTCTATAATTTTTATAATTAAGAAAGTTAATATTAACTGATTTACGGATGAAGAAATAAATAATATTTATTAATAATTGAGGGGCTTCATGTAATTAACTCATAATAATACTCCTAAAATCTTTTTAGCCTTTAGAGATGAGATTAGGACATCCTTAAAATAAAATAAATTGGATTGTCACCAATAGCATTCTCTTTCACGCTTCAAACAATGACAAAAGCATGTATCAAAAACAAAAATAAAATAATAAAAAACAATTAAAATACAACATAATGATAAGATCACTCTCATCATGTGACGTTTCAAAAATTGTTTCTTATTCCAACAAAGTAAGATAGTAATGCCTTTTTCTTTACATATTTACATATAAAGGTTAGAATAAAAATCTAGTAATTGCATTGGAAGATGTAAAAGAGATTGTGGGATTATATCGGGTCTATGTAGTTATTTAAATAAATTGTTCGTTTTTATACAATTTATTTTTAAAATTATACGTGTCATTCTTTTTTTAAAAAATAAATATGATCCAATCACTTAACTATTAATATTTGATTAATGTAATTTTTTTCATTAATAATATATTTGGAAACACTAAAACATGAGTTATTTGAATCACCAATATGAACCTTGAGTGAATCACAACCCTTCAACTGGACTCTCTAGTCTAATTACTGGAGTGATGAAATTCAGAGTTTTTTAGATCAATTTGGTTCGATTATGAAGCGAATAAAAAATCAAGATGTTCCATACCAAAATTTAGATACCAAATCGGAAAAAGATTAGCTCTATATGATAATCATAAATTCTCCATTTTATTGTGTTTATCTTTAAAAAATAGATGATTTATTTTAAAAAATACACTTGTTCATTTTTTTGAGACAAACGGAATAAAGTGAGTAGGTTATGATTATCGAATTGACATAATTATTTTATAAATAATATACTTAGAATATTTTATAAAATAAATCATTTAAATTATCGAAATAAGATTTGTGATAAGTGTCTCCAGTCTAGATAACACCTCTAGTCTATATATGAATTGAAAAGAAAACCAACCCAATTTGGAACCTTTGGACCCAAACCATACCAAAACTAAACTAGAAACAAAACGGTTTACATGTGCCAGAAAGGAAAGTAGTGTGGTAAGTTTAGATCAAGAATTGAGATATTCCAAAGCTACAAACGGGCTTAATGACACGCATCATATATATATCTATATATCTATATCTATATAATAAGGTAAGAAGTTTTTTGAAAATGTCTTAAAATGTATGTGCGATACATTTTAATCCAATGGCTGAGATAATCCCAATCAATATCCAACGGTTGTCATCAATTTTTTTACCGCCCAAACAATTTCTGCTCTCTCTCTCACGTCTGCCTAAACACGCCTCTCCCTTACCCTTCCCTCTCTCATCCAACGGTTCTTCTTCTTTCCTACCCTCCATATTCGCTAGCTCCCGACGCTGCTCTCCAGTCCTTGATATCTACCTCTCTCCTTCTCTCTCTGTCGGGTTGTGAGGTTTTTGTCTGATAGATTTCTTGCTGGTTCTGTTTGTGCAAATGATAGTGTTGCTTATTCTTCCGATTAAATCGCCGACAACGGGGAGCTCACGATCGTCGGACTGGAAATCGACCTCGAAGATCTCGAGATTCACCGACGAAGGCCATCGTCCTCGCCGCCATGTATGGGGGGGTCCGGTGCGAACGCCATCGACGCCGATCTGTTAACCCTCTTCACACACGCCATAACCACCACGACCAAAACTGATAGGTACAAACACACACACACACACATATATATATATATATATAGAGAGAGAGAAATTGGGGATCTGGGAAATTGATAGACAGATGACAGATGTTATTGAAAATTGAGGAAGATTTAGATGCGAGAGATAGACAGATCATGAATGTGAATGTATTTTTCCATTATTTCATTTGTATTTTTTCATTGTTTATTCTAGGTTGATCATTGAAGGATTTTCTGGTAATTGTGGAAAGGGGCTTTGGGGGCCTACATTGTGCTCTCTCTCCCTCTCTCTCTATTCAAGTGTAAATAATTTCCTTATTGTTTCTTAGTTTTTAGTTTCATATCTCAGGTGATTTCTGCTGGGTTAAAACTCATACATTTGTGACTTTGTGCCTTAAAACTCTGCTGCCTTGAATTCTGACTTTGTGCCTTAAAATTCTGCTGGGTTAAGACTCATGTTAATAACAAAATTGCTTTGCTGAATGAATTTCCGCTGGGTTAAAACTCATACATTTGTGACTTTGTGCCTTAAAACTCTGCTGCCTTGAATTCTGACTTTGTGCCTTAAAATTCTGCTGGGTTAAGACTCATGTTAATAACAAAATTGCTTTGCTGAATGAATTTCCGCTGGGTTAAAACTCATACATTTGTGACTTTGTGCCTTAAAACTCTGATAACCGCAACTGGAGTTAAATGTGTGTTAAATTCTGAAATCATGCTAAGAGAAAGAGAAAGACAAAGAAAGTGTTTTTGAATGAATTATAACCGCACCTGGAGTTAAATGTGTGGGGAATTGGAACGCATAGTATTATATATAACAATTTGACTTCCTATAGTCATCAAATTCTGAAATCACAAAATCAAATTTGACTTCCTGTAGTCATGAAATTCTGAAATCAAATTTGACTTCCTGTAATCAAATTCTGAATCAAATTCTGAAATCAATTTGAACACAATGTTACACACGGTGTAACTCAGTCAATTTGAACACAATGGAACACAAAATCAATGGAACACACGGCGTAACTCAGTCAAATTTGTGTTAAAATCTGTGTTTCCATTACTAAAAGGCAGAGTTTATTTAAATGGAAAATCATAACTTCATCAATGATTTGACACAATCATTGAAGTGTGAGCTTTGCTCAAATTCTCCTGGTCCCCTGAACAACCACAAAAGAAGAGAGAGAGAGAGAGAGAGAGAGAGAGAGAGAGAGAGAGGATTGTGTGTTATCTGAGTCTATCACCACTGGTATTAGGTTAGATGGTTTCCCATATATATAAAATATTAAAAGAATTCATAGGTTTGTTTGAATTTGACAATTACAGTTATAGAAGGACAGTTTAGAAATGAGAAAAATTGTGACAAAAGTGTTCATACCATAGATATAGATAGATAGGATAGAAGTATAGATATAAAAGTATAGTGTATGAGCCACTTTGGTGGGCTGGCATATAACAAGTGAGTTTCTTTTTTTTAAGTGTCACTTATTGTATAGTCTGCCTTAAAGTGTTTTTTTTTTTTTTCCACTTTGAAGTTGGATGAACATACATCAGGTGTTGGAGGCTATTCATATTTGTATGAGCCACTTTGGTGGGCTGGCATGATAACAAGTGAGTTTATTTTGTGCTTTCCTTTCACAATGCAAGTGCAAAAAAGCACCAATAATAAAATTAGTAATTAAACAATGAATAAAACAATACACGTTGACTTGGTAAGTAATTGTTTTGTAACAAACTAACCATCATCTGTAGATTTTTCTCTTCAAGATGGTGTGTAATTAGCGTTAAGGGTATAAATACAATTGTTGCTCGATACATGGTGTGCAAGGTGTTGATTTCCTGTTAAATAACTCATGTTAATAACTCATGCTAAAATAAAGGAAACAGAATTTCAATAACTCATGTGTTATCTCATGTTAATTTCAGAATTTCAATAACTCATGTGAGTCCTTGGAAGCTATCTCCCTATTCTGTCTGTTTGACTCTTTGTTGATTTCAGAATTTTTTTCCGGATTATCTTGATTACTCTTTGTTGTATTTTTTTTAGTTAGATACAATGTGTTATCTCCTCTGTTATTGAGTTTTCCTCTATTATTGTGTTCCTTTATTCCTGTAGTCAAATTCATTGTGTTTATTATTATTTTTATTTTTAAAATCTTAATTTATTTTGCTTTTATTGTTTGTTGGACAAACTACTAAATTGAAATTCTTAAACAACATAATAATTATTTATTTGGTAGTATTATATATACCAATGGGAGTATTTCGGTGCTTCTTTGTGACTAATAGAATAATTTCGTTGGTAGTATTAATTATTATTAATAGGATAATTATTTGTTAGTATTAATTATTCTTAAACAACATCTTGCTTCTTTATTTGGTAGTATTAATTATTATTAATAGAATAATTATTTGTTTGCCGGCTGTGGGAGTATTTCGGTGCTTCTTTGTGACTTACATCACCGGAGTTTTGGATTATTTCGTTGTTATTTTATTTGAGTTTTATAAAACTTAAGATACAAGTAAAATTGTTACAATTTTTTAAAAAGAATAGTATTTCTTTATATTTTTTCAATATTTTTGTCAAAAAAATTACAGACTTCATAATAAATTTTAATATGATACGTATGAATTACAACTGTATGTTGATCACAAAATTATTTATATCGTGCCTTCAGGCACAGGCATACGCTAGAACATAAAATTTTATGAATTACAACTCTCTAATTTATGTTATTTGTAATTTTTATTTTTGTTCAAATTTTATGTTGTAGATAGAACATAAAATAAGATAGAACTATTTTATCAAATCAGTTGAGTAGTGGTTTGTTGAATAATGGATTGTTGGTGTTTGTTGCTGGAGATAGAATTGCTTTGCTGAACAGTGGTTTGTTGCTGGAGATAGAACTGCTCTGAATTGTGGTTGAATAATGGTTTTTTGTACACATTTTTTTGAGATTTTAAAAATTATTTATGATGGCCTCTTATAGAGTTTCGTTTTAAAATAAAATGAATTTTATTAATCTTATTTGAAGGTATGAATTTATCATGGTGAGTTTGAGGTATAATGCCTTCAAAATCTGTCACCATTAAAGAATTTGTTACTTTCCCTTTTATCACATCTTCCCCATCTTTTTAGTTTACCCTACTATGATGGCTTAATTTTCGTCTTCACAGCCTTACCCCACCATCAAATACTAATTCTCAAACACATTGTACAATCAAATATGATGTACCCTACTATGATGTTTACAAGCTTAATAGTCATTTTGGAGGGTTTGAACATTGTGTAGACAGCATAATCAGTTATTTGTTAAAAACTTACATTCTGCTGGAGTTAGTACAACATGTTATGTGCACATCCTTTTTGATATCTTAATTTTTATGTGATTATCCTAGGTTTGCTTGCTTATGGTTGCATCCATTTGAATGGACAAGTAACTTATTGGAAAATAAAAAGAAAAGAAATAGATTCAAGGCATTTTAAAATGCCTTCTGCAGGTTGGTAATAATTTCTTATTTGTCTTCTGCAGGTTAAGATTGCAATGATTGGGATCATGGCTGGTGGTGAAGGACTTGATTTTTCATCAGTTGCCTCAGAACCCATCTCATATGTCTCAGGTGTAATTAATTTGCATATCCTTGAGCATTACTGAATCTTCTCTTTAATCATCAAGAAATTGGTGGATGGTTAAAATTGTCTGTTACTGGTTTAAATTCAGTTATTGTAGACAAGCCCGCGGGGGGACCTCGCTACAGCTCGGACTCGACTTTTCGTAGTCACGGTTCTAAGTCTGAACCAAAGAGTCCAAATCCGGCAAATCGTTTTGAGAAAACAGATTTTTGAAAGAAGTGCCAAACATGGACTGCTTTGCCAGATACAGAGTCGCCACCTAAATATTTTAAAATGGGAGAATTTAGGAAACCCTGACTCGGTGCCAAAAGGCCACGCGTCCGTCATCACCAAAGTTGCCTCGGCTCGGGAACTTGGGTACGATTGGGAAAGGTCACTGCGTGAGCACCCCCGCTCGCCTAGTCAGAGACCGGCCTCTACTAACCATGATATCAATTTTTGAAAACATTGTGAGTTCTTATTCCGGTTATTAGCCTAGGTTACTATGTGATGCACACAGCATATAAGTATAGACTGGATCGCCCGAATTGGAACAAAACATTTCATGCTTGTTTATTTGAAAGATGATTTGCTACTCGCAAGTAGGCTTAAAATGCAGATTTTACCACCCGCAGGTGGGTTTAGAAAAGATGGTTTTGCCACTATCTAGTGGGCTTAAA